GAAACTGAGTGACTGACCCAAGATCTTCCAGCAGAAGTAGTGGCGGTATTCAAATAATTTAACAACTGGTTCTCTGCCCTAATGATTTCTTCCAACAACCAGTTCACCAAACTGCTCAGAAAGTTAACAACCGGTTCTCCCGACGTGGTGAGAACTGGCTGAATCCCACCACTGAGCAGAAGCCTAAGGCTCAAAGGCCACTCAGTTTCTAGCCTTAGGTATTAACCACCATGCAAAATTGGCTGTTTAGCGTTTGGCACACGGGGGTCATACTTTTGGTTTAGATGTATTTGTGTACTGCTTCTAACGATGTGAAGATGATAATTTCCTAAGAGCCATTAGAGTGAGACACAGCATCCTGGTGAACGTGTCCAGTTTTAGATGTTTTATAGGTTTTTTTATGTATTGGAAAATTTAGGTGGTACATTGACAAGGATTAGTGTAGATTTAATTTGTTTTGTAAACAGTTGATCTGCCAAAAAAAGAATTAAGGATTGAGAAGAGTTGCAATGATCTTAAGGTGTGATATTCTATGTTATGCTTGTGGGAGAGATGTTTTTAAAAAAAGGTCCATCCCAAGTAATCAGGATGAACATATTTTCAGCAATTAAAGTGCGCACATTAAGATTCAAGGAAGATTTCTACCAATTAACAGGCTGTAGCGAATAAAACTGGCACTCTAGATAGAGGTTAGGTGCAAGACAATTAATAAAAGACAGCAGAGGGAAGAGAAGCTTATTTGTTTGCTTGCTTGTATGGTTTAGAAGCTGCCAGACTCCTAATGACTCTGGATGGCTTACAATTTAAAAAATAGAAAGAGTAAAATAAAAGAAAGAAATCCTGAGTAGCCAAAGACAAGACATCAGGGAAAAAACGTTTAATAGGGTCTCATTCTTTACCCTGCCCAAGACCTGGGAGAATAGCCAAGTCTTCAATAGCTTCGTGAATATCATGAGGGTGGGAACCACCTGGATCTCTTGGGGGGGGGATATTATTACTGAGGGCATATCTTCTATTTATATTTATAAAGATATGTTTTATGAATTGTTATATTCAAGTTATATAAAAGTTTTTGATTAATATTTAATTCTCTTATCATACTATGAAATCACTTGTTTCAGATGCATTTGTGGATATAAGTGTAAGGAGGAAAATTCAGATCAGATATGCATTATATAGAGTCCCCACGATACAGAAACTATAGATTTGGGAATAATACGGTTAACAATAGCTACAATATAAATGCAAATTCAGTACCATGTTGCCTAACATTCTCTAAATAATGTTTAGAATCGGGATGTTCACCATTTAAATAATTTATTTTAAAATGCTTCATGTAACAGTGGTTTCAACAGCTGTACTTCATTAAACAAGTCAGGCAGCAAAAAATAATCTTTTAAAAATATCTCTCTTTGGTCATGGATAAAAGTATTCAAATTAATTCAAATATGAAAGCAAAGTCATATTTGAATGGAGAGAACCTCATTTCTTTCCATAGGAAATGGAACTACTCATTAAAATAGGAAATTGTGGACTTATTTTTTTAAAATAATTATTAACTTGGTAGCATCCATGAAGGAAGTCAAGCTTGTTACAATATGTACAAAATCATCACAGATAAAATTGGTGAGGAAATGATTCCCAAGACTATTAATTCACTGGAAAATATACATTTGTTCCTTATCAATATGACACATGACTCTTCAAGTTGGATATAACATTGTTCTCTTGGGTTTCACTTGTGAAACATCTAATTTTAGCTCTCACCTTCCCTACAAAGAGATAGGTTCTACCGACTATTTTTTCTTCAGCACCTAAACTTTGAAATATTTAGTTGTCAGAAATTCCAAATAGGAATTCACTTCCATTATCTCTGGTTTTAAATAACTGGTTATTTAAGAGCAAGCTAGAAAATGTATTCTGAAAAATCCCTAACCATTAATTGAGGTTGTTATGAAGTCCTTTTCTTTTGCATATTGTGATATGAAATTGCTTTTACTCACTAGTTTCTTCTAGAGTTGGATTTAATTCTTATGAAAATTTATTGTTGAGAATTCAATTCTATTTAGATCTTTGAGGAGAAGATCTTTTTGGGTCAGAAAAAAAGGCTTACTAGAAATTTAAGATATCATTTATTAATATATGTACCATAATGCATATTTTCAAAAAATTAGCCACCTCACTGTATTTTTCAAATAATTCACCCATCTTAAGTTTAAAATTGGCAGTTAAGGCTTTTCACATAGATTATTAATTTTGCAAAAAAAAATAATTAGCAGTGGTTCCACAGTATGTCTAACTAGAATTCAAAGACTATCTTATTCATCCCAATTGCTGACTATTTAATCTGTATTTGTGTTATGTTCTAATATTTCTGTGGTCTGATTTTACTCAGTGGTTTTAAATTTGATTGTACTGAGTTAAATATTTATCTTTAAATAGATATGCTCATTTATATTAATAAATTTATCTACTAGTTCTTACCCTTATGTTAAAAACTATATTCTCATATTTGCATTGAATACAAATTCTTCAGCATTAATTGCTTGCTTTGTTGCATTGTACAGTATATTGTATAATTAAAGTTACTGGGAACTAAATACAGTGGGATTTACTTCTGAGATTAAAAGAAAATATGGCACTCTTGCACAGAAAGAATTAGTTTGGGGTAAAGACCAATATATTAGTAGACGCACATTTCAGTGTGTGTGACTGATTTTTTTACAGGGGGAAAAAATTATCTAGGTTTCTTCAGAATTTAAGCAAACCTACCAAATGGTCAGGGTATGTGGTGGCTCAGTAGCTAAGATGCTGAGCTTGTCAATCAAAAAAAATGTGCAGTTCTGCTGTTCAAATCCTTAGCGCCGCATAACAGATTGAGTTCCCATTACTTGTCCCAGCTTCTGCCAACCTAGCAGAAAAAAAGAATGTAAAAATGCAAGTAGAAAAATAGGGAAAACCTTTGGTGGGAAGGTAACAGCATTCCATGTGCCTTTGGCATTTAGTCATGTTGGCCACATGACCACAGAGACATCTTCGGACACCGGCTCTTCAGCTTTGAAATGGAGGTGAGCACTGCCCCTTAGAGTTGGGAATGGACATATGTGTGACAGAAACCTTTACCTTTCACCAAATGCTTCTTCTGGGGTTATAATATAGCAGTATATTAATGTTAATAATTTTGTTTCAATTAGGTCCATGGAAGAAATCTGCTATCGATTGATTATGATCGGAACATTCGCACAGAGAAAATATACGATGATCACCGGAAGTTTACACTCCGTATTATTTATGATCAACTTGGACGTCCTTTCCTCTGGCTGCCCAGCAGTGGACTTGCTGCTGTGAATGTCTCTTATTTTTCAAATGGACGGTTGGCTGGGCTTCAGCGTGGTGCCATGAGTGAAAGAACTGAGATTGACAAACAAGGCAGGATTATTGCACGCATGTTTGCTGATGGAAAAGTGTGGAGTTATACATACTTAGAAAAAGTAGGTAATTGTTGGTATGGCCTATAGTCCTGCATTAACCGAAGTTTGGGATTTACTGATGCTGGCATATGTATCTATACATCAAACAATTCAAAAATCATAACTGAGGTATCTTCATTGCCGAATGCTAGATATAAGCTAATGCTAGCATATAAACTAATAATAAGCTAGCACATACAACTATTGATTAATGCACTGTATCTTTAATCTTAGGACTAAATTTATATAACAGACCTTGTGCCTGTCCTGTTTTTTTTTTTTTTTAAACTTACTTATTTCTCCTTTAGTTCCTATTTTTTGCCTGGTTCTGGAGAACTCGGCTGCACATTCATTTGATCTGTTTGGTGGAAAACAACAACAACAACATCCAGAATTGTTTGATTATAGATTAAAGATAGATATGCAGGCAGACATCATTACATAATTACATATGCTGAAATACTCTAATTGAAAACCTTGGAATACAAATCCTTTCATCCTATTTTAAAATGAAGTTAGGTCAGCTCTTATAAGAACCAGCTTCCTTTTAAGAACTGCAAGAAATTCCATTTTAAGAATAGTTTGCCACAATCAGATTTTTTTGTGCCAACAGACAGTAACTGTCACATATGTGCTTTACTAATTAAATGTTAATGGTGAACACATTGAGTGATCAAACTTTTCAGGTTCTATGTGTGCCTTTGCCCTGAATTGCAAAAAGTCTCTTTATTGTTAAAAAAAATCCACAGTAAATTCAAAGCACTCTTACAGGTGTGCTTAATATTGTGGCACTCTTTAGTGTAATATCAGCATGGCATACAACATAGCATAGTGCCTGCGTATGATAACCTGAATTTGTGAGAATGAAGTCAATATGGAGTTTATCATTTCTTTACAAGCCTAATGGCATAAATAGAACAGAATGTGCTATTATTTATTTTACAATTGTGTATCTTTTTTGTTTGTTTGTCCTGCCAAATAAATTAATAGCTACATGCATTAAAATGTTTATAGCAGCAGTAGCTGTAACTGTCATGTATAAAAAGGAATCCTTAATGGTTTTGTTGAATTGTGATACCCATCTGATATATTTTTGATACAAAAAAAACCCAAACATAAAATATGACTTTGTTTTTTCAATAGTCTATGGTGCTACTCCTTCAAAGTCAGCGGCAGTACATCTTTGAATATGACTCTTCAGATCGGCTGCATGCTGTCACTATGCCAAGTATAGCTCGACACAGCATGAGCACTCACACCTCAATCGGCTATATTCGAAATATTTATAACCCACCTGAAAGTAATGCTTCAGTGATTTTTGATTACAGCGATGATGGAAGGATTTTGAAAACATCTTTTTTAGGAACTGGTCGGCAAGTTTTCTACAAATATGGGAAGTTATCCAAGTTGTCGGAGATTGCATATGACAGCACAGCAGTGACTTTTGGATATGATGAAACTACCGGAGTTCTGAAGATGGTTAACCTACAGAGCGGGGGCTTTTCTTGCACCATCCGCTATCGTAAAATTGGCCCTCTGGTTGACAAACAGATTTACAGATTCTCTGAAGAAGGTATGGTCAATGCTAGGTTTGATTATACCTATCATGATAATAGTTTTCGAATAGCTAGCATCAAGCCTATAATAAGTGAGATCCCTCTTCCAGTTGACCTCTATCGTTATGATGAAATCTCAGGCAAAGTAGAGCACTTTGGCAAATTTGGGGTAATCTATTATGATATAAATCAAATAATCACTACGGCTGTAATGACACTGAGCAAACATTTTGATACACACGGACGGATTAAAGAAGTTCAGTATGAAATGTTCCGATCACTCATGTACTGGATGACAGTGCAATATGACAGTATGGGAAGGGTAACTAAGAGAGAATTAAAGCTGGGGCCTTATGCCAATACAACTAAATATACATATGATTATGATGGAGATGGGCAGCTCCAGAGTGTGGCAGTCAATGACAGACCAAACTGGCGTTACAGTTATGATCTAAATGGCAACTTGCATCTCTTGAATCCTGGGAACAGTATCCGATTGATGCCACTACGCTATGATCTAAGAGATAGAATTACGCGACTAGGTGATATGCAGTATAAGATTGATGATGATGGGTTTTTGTGTCAAAGAGGTTCTGACACATTTGAGTACAATTCCAAGGGCCTCTTAACAAGAGCTTATAATAAAGCAAATGGATGGAGTGTTCAATACCGTTACGATGGATTAGGAAGACGAGCCTCTTACAAAACTAACCTGGGACATCACCTTCAATATTTTTATGCTGATCTTCACAACCCAACTAGGATAACACATGTCTATAACCACTCAAATTCAGAAATTACCTCTCTGTACTATGATCTGCAAGGTCATCTTTTTGCAATGGAAAGCAGCAGTGGAGAAGAATATTATATTGCCTCGGATAATACGGGTACACCATTGGCAGTTTTCAGTATCAACGGTCTAATGATCAAGCAACTGCAATACACAGCCTATGGGGAGATCTATCACGATTCTAATCCTGACTTCCAAATAGTCATTGGATTTCATGGAGGGCTATATGATCCTTTAACAAAACTGGTCCACTTTACTCAAAGAGATTATGATGTTTTGGCTGGACGTTGGACCTCTCCTGATTATACAATGTGGAAAAATGTTGGTAAGGAACCTGCCCCATTCAACTTGTATATGTTCAAGAGCAACAATCCTCTCAGCAATGAACTGGATTTAAAGAACTATGTGACAGGTGAGAAATAATTCATAGTCTGGAAATCTAAGGAACGTTGTAAAAAAAAAGTGTAAGAATGCTATTTTGCTCTTAGGAAACTCTTTTAATATCAAGTACAGACTCAAAATTCTTCATTTTGAACAGGATAGGAAGAAGATTGCACTGGTTAATGAACCAACTCCTATGGTTTTGAACAATGGTAATGTAATTATGTATCCAGTCCTATGGTTTAAGGTCAGCTAGAAACAGTTGTACTTAAGCACACATGATTATATGTATTTTTTTAAAGAAATACACAAGGATTAGATATGCATCAAACTAATCCATGTAATAACTGTTTTTGGATTGAGCAGAAGAATCACACTTCGTGTATGTGAATTAACCTTGGCAATGCAAAATGTTAAAAGTTTGTAAAGATACTTTACACCAATTTGCACATGCAATCCCATTGCTTCTTCTGTTATATACAGCCATTTAATTCAGAGGGATTTAGCAATGCTTTGAGATAAATCATATGCTAAGGATATAGTTCAATGTTTGTCAGCCAGTGGTTTGTATTAGTGAT